TACTACTTGTAGTAGCAGTAGTAGTAGTAGTAGAAGTAAAGGAACAAGTAGTATTTGTAGTAGAGGTAGCAGTAGTGTTTGCAGCAGCTGTAGTAGCAGCAACAGTAATAGCGGTACTAGCCGAGGTAGTAGTAATTGCAGAAGAAATGGAGATAGCATCAGCAGTTGTATTACAAAACGTATTTGTAGTACTTATAAAAGTATTAGTAGTAGTGGTAATGAAAGTAGTAGTAGTGGTAGTTGTAGCAGCAGCAGCAACAGCAGTGGTAGTATCGTAAGTTACTACAGGTAATACATTTTCGCTACTACCCTTGCGATCGCTACTCTTGTTACTAATACTATCACACATTTTACTATTATTAATAATGCCTTTGTCGCCATTGTCAGCTGTAGTAGTTGTAGCAGCAGCATTAGCAGCAGAAGAGGCAGCTGTCGTATCATCATTTTCATCAATTTTACTATCGAGATCGTCATTACTGCTAAGAAAGATTTCGAAATTGTCGGGACTACTATTACTATTATCACCCCCATCATCATCATCGGCGTTATTATTACCGTCAATATTATCATCATCATTACCATCTGTGTTATCATCATCATCGTCGTTACTCTCTTTATCGTCATCATCATCGTCGTCATCTGATGGATAAACACTCTTCCGAATGGGAGATATGTGAGATGCGGATAAATTTTTCCCGCCTTTAACATCTTCGTTAAGATCATTCATCTTTTCGTCATCATCATCAGAAGCTACGGCAGCAGTGGCAGCTTCTCTGACGTCGTCATCTTCTTTATCATCATCACCATCATCGTCGTCGTCATCTTCTTTATCATCATCACCATCATCATCGTCGTCATCATCATTCTTAAAATTACTCTTTTTACTTGTCATACGTCGGCCGTTTTTAAAATCATTGTTATGTTTATCATTATCTAGATCATTATGTTTATCATTATTATCAACATTATCATCATTTGTACGTATTTTATCATTGCTTACTCTATAATCGTCATCGTTTGCATCTTTACTATGCCTACCGCTGCAGACTTCAGAGGCATCATCACCACCATCATCATCACTATCACTGTTATCATCATCATCAGCGCTAATATTGGCTTTATCATCTTTATAATCGCTATCATCATCATCATCATCATCATCCTCATCCTCATCATCACTACGATTGCAAATGTTTCTTATTTTGTTACTATCACCATGATCATCATTTTTATCATCATCACTATTGTTATTGACATCTTTCATTGTACTACTACCTCTACTACTATTATCGTCTTTTCTATCGCTACACTTTCTACCCCCACCACCACCACCACTACTACTGCTACTACTACTGCTACTACTACTAACACTACTCTTTCTAAAAGTATTTTTACTACTACTGCTACTACTACTACATTTACTGAAGTTACTTCTGCTGCTTCTCCTACTAAGACTTTTTTGTGTTTTTCGTTTTTCAATTGAACTGTGTCTTGAACTTTCGCTGTAAGATCTGCTGTACCTGTCGTACCTATCTCTTGATCTACTTTTACTATACCTACTACTATATCTACTACTACTTCTACTCCTACTACGACTTCTTCTGCAGCGACTCCGGCTTCTACTACTACTTCTGGTTGGACTACGACCACTTCGGTTTCTACTACGACTCCTGCTACTTCTGCTAGACGATCGCCGTCTAGATCTGCGACAGTATCTGGGTCGAGACCGTCTCACTAGGCTGCGACGTCGCCGGTAGTATGAGGAGTATGAAGACGATCTTGAGCGATATTTAGAATGAGACCATTTAGAATTCGATCTAGACCTGTCGCTACGACTGCTGACGCTGCTGTTGCGTCGGCGACTTAGACGACGTCGGCGACTACTACGGGATGATCGGCGGCTTCTGCTGCTGCTGCGCGAGCTTCGGCTGCGACTGCTTCCATCGCTAGAGCTAAAATTTATGTTAGATCTCTGAAGTTTGGCGGCCGATGAGGAAGACGATAGCGCGATTTGATTCACTAACTTTCCTTTCTTTGGAGTCTTGGATTTACTTTTATTATTACTATTATTATTATTCATATTATTCATATTATTATTATTACTAGTATTCGTGGAATCAGATCTTAACATTTTATTACTGGCGTGTCGTGACTTCACTAGCAGCACATTCCTATTCACGGTGAATTTAGATTTTAAAGAAAATTTTATCAAACTCTTACTACAACCACTAGCGTCAGCGTCATTATCAGGGTTACTATTATTATTACTGTTATTATTATTATTATTAACTTTACTGCTGGCATTAAAGTTACTAGGAAAAGTATTACTGGTCGTTGTACAACTGCCACGCGTATTATTGCTACTATTGTTGTTGGACGTAGTATTCGTAGGTGCAGCTGTGGACGCGGCGACAACTGCTGCTGTGGGCGCTGGCGTGTCTGGTGGCATTTCAATTTTACTAACATCAAGTGATTTATAGTCATAATTTTCGTTATAATTATTATTATTATCTTTATTATCATTTAGTTTTTTAGAGCGTTTATTTTTAACACTGGCAACGCCATCACGCTTATCATCACCATCATTATTATCATTATTAACCTTATTATTATCACTACTATAATCATCATCGTCATCGTTTTTGGTGTCTTTGGTACCATCAGCACTGACGTCATTGCCGTTGTTGTTGACGTCGGTTTCGACGTTCTTAAGTTTACTTTTCTTCAAAGAACGATGACGATGGCGATGATGATTCTTGGTTTTGCTTTTCTCACTAACTTTCTTCATTTTAGCAACGCATGTAGTAGTAGTAGTAGTTGTTAATGATGGTGTTGTTGTATCGCTATTGGCAATCGATACCTTAGAGCAATTATCGTTCTTAACGATACCACCACCACCACCATCATCATCATCATCGTCCACATCATCGTTCTTATCAACGTCATCATTATCATTATTATTATTATAGTTATTACGATTTTTAGCGCCATCTTTACGATTTCTAGAATGCTTTTTCGAGGATTTCGATTTCTTTGGTTTTTCAACTAACGCATTATCGATGACGTTACTATTATTATTATTATTATTATTATCATTATTATTATTATTATCATCATTATTATTATTATCATTATTATCATCATTCTTTTTATTCTTCTTATAACTATCATTATCATTATTATTATTTTTTTTATTAATACCATCTACTCCGCCATCAAATGCATTTGAATTCTGAGATTTTTTAGCCAGTGATTTCGTCTTTGGCCTCAAATTGTTATTATCATTATTAATTATCTTATTATTGTTATTATTAATAGACCTATTATTACTATTATTATTATTGCTGGATTTTATATTACCAGCCGAAGCGTTAATACAATTAAAAGACGTACTATTGTTATAACTATTTTTATCGTTATTATCATCGTTTTTATTAATATTACTATTATTATTATTAATATTATTATTATTGTTATTATTGTGATTGACCTCTTTTTGGTTTTTTACTTTCGGCTTTTTCCTGACTCTCATTTGACCTCTGACGACCTTTTTGTTGAATCCATCTGAAGCTGCACCCCGATTATCAATACCATAGTCGTCATCATCAGTAACAAGCTTATTAGAAGTAGTAGCAACAGTAGTAGTAGTAGTAATAGTAGTAGTACTTTTATTATTATTATTGTTGTTGTTGTTGTTATTATTGTTATTATTGTTGTTGTTTTCACCGTCAGTAAAAGATTCAGTGAACATATCAGCAACTTTTGTGGCGTTTTTTCTCTTCAATTTAAACTTTTTATTACTATTATTATTATTATTATTATTATCATCATCATTGTTTCTATCGTTATTTTTGTTAGTATTTTTATTAGTAGCAAAAGTATTAGAAGCGGCTGCAACAGCAGCAGTAGTAACAGAAGTAGTACCACCTTTGATGATGTCGTTATTATTATTATTATTATTATTATTTAAATCGTCGTTATAATTACCATTATTACTTTTATTATTTTTATTATGTTTGTTCTTCTTATTTTCCTTTTTACCCTTACCAGCAAAACTTTTCTCTCTGGTAACAGCATCAGCAGCACTATTAGCCGGGGCTGTTTTGTGAAGCTTTTTGACAACATCATCATCATCATAACCTCCGCTACTCTCACAATCATCATCAACACCGTTATTATTATTTTTATTATTATTGCTATTAATAACTCTAGAAGCAAAAGTAGTAGTAGTAGCAGTAGTAGCAACAGCAGTAACGTTACTAATAGTTGGATTATTAATATTATTGTTGTTATTATTATTATTATTCTTGTTTTTTCGGCTCTTACTGTTGTCAGTCTCCTTCCTACCTTTGCATTCTATATCATTCAGTATCTTTGATTTCAAATCTTTAATCTTGTCATCATCGTCGTCGTCGTCGTCGTCTTCATCATCGTCATTACCATCACCATTGCTTTTTCTCTTTTTATTACTATTATTGTTAATTTTCATGGAAGTTTTGGTATTATTATTATTATTTTTCAAGCACTTGGTCTGCAGCTGCCCATTTGAATTATTCTTATTATTATTGCTGCTGGTAGAGTACCTAGGCAGAAAGAGTAGAGATAATGATGGTGGTGAGTGTGAAGACGACGCCGATGATGATTCGTGAATATCATGATAGATATCATTGATACTGCTCTTCTTATTATTATTTCTGTTGTTGGCGGTGGTGGCGTTTTTATTATTATTATTATTGTTATTGCTGCTGGTGCTACAAGACACATTTTTGTGGTTGTTTTTTTTCTTCTTAGATTCAGCAGTTGAAACATCACGATCATTGTCGTCGTCGTCATCACCACCATCATTGCAATCACGTCTGACATCATCAATGACGTCATCATCAACTTCCGGATCATCGTTGTAAGCATCGTTACTAATCACCTCCTCGGCACTACTCGTCATACTCAAAAAATTTTTCACCCGTTTTAGTTTTGGTTTTTTCGGGCCCCCGTCATCACGATGATGATGATGACGATGGTGATCATTATCATCACTGCAAGAGTCTGTACTATTATCATTACTCTGGTGATGATGGCGGTGATGTTTGTGGGTGCGTTTTTTGCTGCTTTGTGATTGGCTGTTAGATTTCTCTGCTGATGAAACATTCCTAGGCATATTTTTCATAATTTTAGCGGGATTAAGATTAGTAGAACTACCGGCATCTAACTGGCTCCCTGCTGCTATTGGCCTGAAATATCCATTAAAATTTTTATTAAGCCTGTAATTTTTTGGCAAATTATCCTCTTCATCTGTTGAATATGAAACTAATTTGGCAACATTGTTAACTTTTTGGACATTTTTATTTGAGTTGTTGGTCTTCGAGGATGCGTTTCGATGAGTGGATGCCGAACGCGAAGATCGAGACCGAGAGTACGAAGACGATCGAATTGATCTTGACCTTGAGGAATAGCTTGAACCTCTGTTGCTCCGAGACCGATGTCTGGATCGGTGGTGTCTGTGATCATCATGGTGGTGTCTGTAGTGATGATGTCGATCGGAGTCTCCAGATGATTCTGACGACGATCTGGAACGCCGCTCAGCTCTGTAGAGCTTTCTAGATTTTATATAATTCCTGCAAGCATCCTCACCATACAAACGCCTGATTCTCTTCAATGAACTCATTAATTTTTCAATTTTTATTTAATAAACTGAGGATTTTTTAATTCATTTAGAAACGTTATAAACTATGTATTCAAATTCAAATTGTAGGCAAAATTTTTAATTAGGAAGTAATTAGTCTAGTGAGAGCTGAGTTTTAAATTTCAACTTGGTAACGAGAAACGATCATCTGTTTTTATTTTATATATATATATATATATACATGTCGATCAGGCAACGTAAAATTTGAAAAAACCCAAAGATCACATATCGGTAACGGTAACTTAAAATTTACGTTCACTTTTGTCAGATTGCTCAAATCAAAATTTAGAAGTTGACTTGCCTCAAGACAGGAGATCGCGATCATCGTTGTTAATTAGTAAGGTTAATGTTAATCGCGTTTTCCGATTTCGCTTGTCATCAGTGTTCTATTTTATGAAAAACTATTCATATATTCACAATGAGATTTTGCATCAGAAACGTCACTAATTTGTTATTCATTTTTAAAAAATTAAAAATTAGTTCTCAGTTTAGGCAGCACGCCATCATGAAGAAATGGCACACGGCACTAATCGATCTTAGTGGGACGTTGCACATCGAAGATCAGGTCGTTCCCGGATCGCTTCAGGCCTTGGAAAAGTATATTTTTAAATAACTTCATTTGATCAGATGTTGATATATACCATACCTCATTAAAGTTTAAATAGCTAAATTAAATTATTAATTAATATTTATTTAATTAAGTTAACAATACTTTTTATTTTAATATTTTAATGTTTAATATTATTCTAATAGTTAATACTAATTCATCATCAGATTGAGAGGTGCTGGTTTAAAAGTAAAATTTGTAACAAACACGACCAAGGAGTCCAAAAATCTCCTCTTTCGCAACCTCATCAAACTTGGGTTCAAGATAGAGAAAGATGAAATATTCACGTCATTAACAGCTGCCAGGTCAGTCATTGATGAGAAAAAGTTAAGGCCCTTCTTACTGCTGGAAGATTGTGCATTAGAGGATTTTGCTGGTAACTTATAAATTCGCCTTTGGAAAACATTTCTATCCATGAAATCTTTATAAATGTTATGATGGAAATATCTTTTCATTTTTTTCTATCTTCTACTAAAGGAGTAGACACAGACAATCCAAATGCAGTAGTGGTGGGTCTGGCTCCCTCAAAGTTCAACTATGAAAACTTAAACAAAGCATTCGAGTATGATCTACTTCATTGTTATCTAATTGCAACACTACATTAGATCAAAGTATAGTATTGTTTTGTTTTTTTTTTCTTAATAAAAAGCTTACTTTTAAATGGAGCTTGCCTGGTTGCCATACACAAGGGAAGGTATTACAAAAAGGCTGACAACAAACTGCATTTGGGACCAGGTATCAAACAAATTTTGTATTCTAAAATTCAGATCTTATCAAATTCATTTATCTAGTTGAATTTTAAGTAAGCCATCCAATCACATTTCATCAGCCAGTGTCATCAAGCAATAGAATTTAATAATCTGGTTATATCGTCAATTAGCCAACCAATCACATTTCATTTACCAACCTCAATGAACCTATCAGGTCCGTTTGTGGCTGCGTTGGAGAATGCAACAGGAGTCATTGCTGAGGTTGTTGGCAAGCCAGAAGATAAATTTTTCTACTCAGCCATCAGATCACTTCAGCCGCCATCATCATCTTCATCGCCACTACCACAATCACTGCTGTCTGGTGTCATAATGATAGGGGATGTAAGTGAACTGAATTTTTAAAAATTTCTACCAAACTCACTCAATACTCAATGATCAAAACATTTTTCCCTTATTTTTAGGACATCAGGGATGACGTAATCGGGGCCATCAGAGCAGGGCTGACAGGGATTCTTGTAAAAACTGGCAAATACAGGGCGAATGATGAAAATACATGCTCAGGGGACGTTAGGCCGAATTTCGTTTTTGATGATTTCTCAAAAGCTGTTGATTACATTGTCGAGAATAATGGTTGAGTGAGCGACGTTAATGAGGAAACAACTAGTTGACTATCTGTAATTAGTTGATTAATTAATTGATAATCATGGCCGATAGTTTGTAATTACTATGAAATGACTTTCTACGTTGCGTAGTGTTTGTGTGGATCGCTTGCATCTAGTCAAAGTTATCCGTTTTTACAATTATTAATGACTTTTATAAATTATGATCTCAAATGAATTTTGATTTTTTAAATTTTTTCAATAAAATTGTACTTTTTAATTTTGCATAAACGAAAAATTATGAACACAACTGGTTATTGTACGCGTTACCAGTTAACAAAGTGACGCGTAGTAAGAACGATTGTCAAACAGCAAATAAGTTCTTCACACGACACGACGAGACAAACGAAGCCCTGAATTGTTGTGGATAGTATAAAAATCAACGAACGAATAACAATATTAACAATTGCAGTAGTGAAAATAACAAACACAATAATTGAAAAATAATGTTGACTACAAAGGAAAAACAATCTCCAGTGACCGTTATGTGGCGATTTTCAATTTTCTTCCATTTTGTTTTTTACTAATTCTTCAAGTTCGGCTCTGATGTCATCACTGACGTCACTAATTTCATCCTCCTCCTTATCACCACCGCTGTCTTCAACTTCGACTGTTATGTTGTACCTCCTCTTGTGCAATTCATCTTGAGTGAGGATCATTTCGCATTTGAACCAGGATCCCGGCCTCACAAAGTACGATTCAAAGAACGGAATAACCGTTTGCTTCCAGTGTGTGGCTGGATGTAGTGGAGATGTCGAGAGAGTAACTGGTTTCATAATGTTGGACCCCGGAGAAAAAACTTGTAGAGATGTGCCTGAGGATTCCAGTAATGTGTTAGAAGCTTGACTAATTTTCTTTGTAATGGGTTCGTTGTCATCATCTTCATTTCCAAAAATTACATCGAACCACAGAGCTATGCCTCTCATGATGTCATGCTTGGTGAATGCGAATTTCAGTGATGTGGAGATGATGTTGAAATCGTTGACATCTGCATACATCAGATCAATTGCCGTGATTAAATGTGGATCTGATATTAAATCTTTTGGGTTTATTGTTAGGATCTTTGGCTCTTTGTTGGATGTTGTAGTTGATTCTGTGCTTGGATTATCAGCATTTGCATTGTTGTCCCCACCCGCTTTTGAAAAACTAGAAGACCTGACAGAAGTCTGATCCAAAATTTCGTCAGCGACAGGACTGAAATTGTAGCCATAAAAATTTTTCCAGAACTTGTTGACCTCATCATGGTGAGACTTCAGTGATGTTGGACATGCATAGAGATTAGCAATGGATGGAAATATCTGACCATCTTGTTTCAAGAACCTATCCCTGGCCACTATCACCGACTGCAGCATGGACTCATGCAGCAAGTAGAAGCCCATCCATTCGGATATTATGACGTCTACCTTTTCAGGTATGCTCACCTCCTCCACCCTTCCATGAATCACCTGAACTATGCCATCCACCTTGTTCTTTTCTATTATTTTCTTGCAGAGTTTACTTATGTTGCTAGCTTCTACTGCATAAACCTTTGGGAGCACAAAAATTGCAATTAGTTATTATTAAATTTTAATGTAGAATCATGAATGAATATAAATAAATTAAATAAAGATTAAAATTAAAGATAGACTCTAAAAAAAAGGGCAGTCTTTCTAACACTAACTTAATTTCATTTTCAAAGATTGATTAATCATTAAGTAAGTCTGCTAAACTAAGTAAACAGATATAAAATAAATTCACATTAAATTAAATTAATCATTAATTTAATTTAATATTAATTCAATTAATCTGTTTCATATATCTGTTTGTTTATACTTTACAGTTTACTACTTACTTTAGTTTAGCAGACTTACTTACTTTTTTCGCTCCTGCACTAGCAGCAAACAGTGACAGGATTCCTGTACCAGCCCCAACATCCATTACGACTTTCCGCTTAAAGAAATGTGGATTCTCTTCAATGAACTTTTTGTAGGCCAGTGTCCTGCTGTCATCTCTGAGCATGAGTTCGTGGACGGTTATGTCATTGTAACTGCTTTCATATTTCCTGTCATCTCGTTCTTCCATAATTTTACTTTTATAATTTCTATTTTACAGTTAGAAAGTTATCTTTTTATCGTCACGAGCATAGGAATTGCAGTATTTAGTTTAAGAAATCAGCAAAATTGCGCGGCCGATAATATGACGCACGCTACATGCTCTAAAAAATCAGAGTATAAAGTATGGGTAGCATAGAGAAACATTCTAACACTTGTATACATATATATATATATATATATATATATATATATATATATATATTGGATATAACTTGTATATATTCTATATAAATGCTAGTATATTATATGTTGTATAAGTAAATATACTACTGTAGTGTTTGTAATACCTATTAACATTACTACATAAATCTGGTAACAAACTACCAGTTTGATTCATTATATTATACCAGCCCCATAATCCATAGATTATTGAACTATAGTGCGTATTCAGTAATATCAATACATAATTGTAACTCTTCGTTTTCGAAACATGTCGACACAGCAGTTTAGTAACTTTTTATTAGGCGAAAAATGTCACATAACATTACAAATTCGATTACTCTTTCCATGCAACCTAGTAACATCATCACCACAGCCATTTAGGTCAACAGTTTTCGAGCCATCAACATTGTCAGCTCCGAGGTTATCGTTATTATTCGACTCGGTATTCACGATCGCATCGCCAATCGATACTTCGGTATCATCAGGTATTATGACGTCATTCACTAACACCGGGTGAGTGCCATTGATCAGCAAGTCATTCCTGCAACATCCTCCATCGACCATGTCACTATCGCTTCGAACCGTCGAATTTATATCGCCGGATATAACTCCTTGTTCGGTCGAGTCGGAACTTCTCCTCAACAATTCGCTCTCCACCGTGAAGATTTTCGAATAGCTGGGAGGATTTTTGGGATCGAGAGAATCGTAAGATGGCGGGGAGGAAGTGTACGGAATGACCGAATCGAAATTGCTAACTGCTGTTGGGGGGAAACTTATGACGTCATAGAGTTGATCTCTTCGACCGATTATTACGTCTGTGTGTTTGAATCGGTATGAGTTCGATTGAGTAATTTGTTTGAATTTTTTATGCATTTAGTGAATAATTTTATTTCGTTCACTAACTATTTCTCGTCCTAATAACGGTTGCATTGTTCAAGCCGGTCCCTCGACAGTTCTTACCGAACACGCAGATGAATACGAGTAGAATCGAGCCAACTACAATCGATAGCATGGCAAATATTAGATTCGATTTCAACCCATACGCATCCCTTTGAATGTGCATCGACAAATATTTTAATATTGATCATATATAAGTAATCAATGTAGTAATTGTATTAGTTTTAATGGTAGTAGTCGTAGTAGCAGTAGTGGTAGAGTAGTAGTAGTAGTAGTAGTAGTAGTAGTAGTAGTAGTAGTAGTAGTAGTAGTAGTAGTAGTAGTAGTAGTAACCAATGTAATTAAGTAAAAAATTAACTTTTCAAGCCACATTCTATTATGAATATCTCTGATACTGCTGTTTGAGTATTCGAACTTGTTGTTCTTTCCGAGTACTAAATTCGCTATTTTGATTTTTTCGCTATTTTAAATAAATATAAAATAAATATTTTTATTATTTTTCATTATAATTTGTTAATATTTTTGTCTTATTATAGTTGCCAATTGAATAAATTAAATTTGAAACATTGAAAAATAAAACATTATTATAAAAAACTATTAAAAATACCGACAGACCGACTAGGGATTCGACAGTTTTTAACGGTTTGATTGATTTCACTAAAAATTCTCCTACCGAAACAACACACGTCATCAATGCTGTGCCACTACTACTGCTGCTGCCGACGATACTGCTACTACTACTACTACTACTACTACTACTACTACTACTACTACTACTACTACTAGTGGTACTG